GGAGAATGACTTTGAGCTGAATGTCAGTCTGTGGCCATATCACCCAGAGTACACCTATTTCCTCTTAGTTGAGTTCTAGCCTGACCTTTATTCCATTCTAGTTGCCATAGCACAGATCGATAGGATGTAGAACTAGTGAAGCAACAACCATAGATTTAACCCCTTGGTGGACTTCTGGATCCCTTGAGAGCACACCCTTCCTTTGATTAATAAAACTGATAAGAATAATGTCCCTCATGTATGTATATTGGTTGCTGTGCTGGGCCAGATGCACTGCACTGGTTCCTTTATGCATAATATTCTCACAACCGTCCTGTGAGGTAGGGGCTATTGACAGAGGTCAGAGAGGCTGGGAGCTGTTACACAGTGGATTGATGTGGAACCTGGCTGTAACCCCACAGCTGACTGGTGCCAAGATGCATGAATTTAATTATTTGGTTATATTCCTGCGTGGAGCTGAAAGTGAGTAGAGCCAGAAAATACAAATGGGTCAGCTGTCTCTTGGGTCACATCTCTGCCTGCGGGGGACAGAACACTGCAAACAATTATGATCTTGATGATGGATCACTTATACTGCTCTGTAGGCAAAGGCAGAGGCATTTATGAATGGCCCTGCTTAGTTTTGGGATGTTTGGGGTAAAGAAGAAGTATTCACGTTTATATAGTTTACCTCTTTCTTAAGACCTTTCTAGAAACTGACTTTGCCAGGGAGTTCTCTTTGTCTGACTAGTTTCTTTCTCTTGACCTACTTTGGAAGAAGCTTGCAGATATGCACCTCTTGTTATTACACCTCCGTTTTCCTGGATTCACTGTTTGTTTATCATTTTAGCATTCTCAGTGGCATCCTGTTTTGCTTCCTAAGTACTATGATTGCCCTACTTAAAACATCCTCTGCTAGCACCTCAAACTTTACTTTCATATATCTTTTTACAGTTTATAATTATATATCTTAATTATTGACTGGTTCTCACAAGATCACAAAGTCTATAAACACTGAGTCTCCAGGGTCTAGTCCTGTACCTGACACATAGTGGTTTTAAGCAACAGTCTGTTGTGATGGAGGAAGCCAACCTGATTGAGCACAGATGTCCACAGGCAGTGGAGAGCGCAAGTATGGCCACAGATGGTGAATGAAATATGATCCAGATGTGGAGGGTTATGGAAGAGGAAGATCATCATGAAGTGAGGAGGAGTTGAGACTATATTCACATCCTGGAGTTTTCAGACCAAATTATCATAAAACCCGATAGCTAACTAAAACGTAATCTCTACCAGTTCTGGAGACCAGAAGTCCAAAATAAAGGGATTCACAGGGCCATGCACTCTTTGAAGGATCTAGAGGTAGATCCTTTCTTGCCTTTTCTTCACTCCTGGTGATGCTTAGCAACCTGTTGTCCACTGGCTTGTGATGCCTGGAACTAGGGTCTAACCTAATCCAGAATGAACCTTGTTGTTTGTTGTTATGTGCCGTCGAGTAGCCTGTGACTCATAGCAACCCTATGTACAACAGCCCTAAACTCCGCTCTGTCCTGTGCCAATCGCACTGTCTCCGACACTCCCATCCCAATTATCCC